ACGTGGGCGTCGCAGGCGGGGAGTGGGACCTGGTAGCTGAAGGGGCTCGGGCGCAGTGCTAACTTTCCATGCCGAGGGAGGTTTCCCGCTTCTGCTTGCCCGCTGCAGCTGGCCGAGGTCCCCTGCCACCTCGTCACTGTTGTCCAAGGAACTCGCGGGTGTGCGGAGCCGGCTCGCTAAGTCTGAGTGACCCCGCTTGCTTCCTGGCCGGACCCCTTGATCCTGGAACTGCGTTTCCTCTCTGGTGACTGTAGGCGCAATCACCGCTGGGAAGTCAGTTCTTGACTCTCCATTGTCCGGTGCCATTGGGACAAGACCCGACTGGACCGGGTGGGGGCCAGGTGCGGACGCGGAGCCTTTCCAGGGAATGGCCAGCGGCGGGCGGGCAGTGGGACTTCAGTGGGTACCGAGCCGGGAAAGGCAGCAGCTCCAGCAGCCGCTGAGCAAACGGAGCCAAGTCGGGCTTTCGGCCCGGGAATTTAGCTAGTGAACTCAGATACGCCTTGGCAATGATTCTGCTTTCCAACTGAGCACATTTCAGAGTTCAGAGCTCGGAACACAGGACACCCTAGTGATCAGATTTCCTGGAGCAGTGCCTAAGGCATTTGACTGCTGACCACATGGTTGGAGGTTCAAACCCACCAGCCACTCCGCAGAAGGCAGACTGGGCAATCTACTTCCGTAAAGATTTACCGCCTTGGAAACCCAAAGGGGGTAGCTATGAGTCGGCATCCACTGGATGACAAAGAGTTTGGTTTTGTTTGGGGGGGGAGGGGGTAGCATTGTCACCATTAGACGCCAATGGGGCCAGGGACCTTTAGCTCTCTCAGCCTCCCCAGGACTGACCAAGCATGCCAGACTCTGTCAACTTGGTAACATCCCTTTGTGCCGTTGCCTTTCCCAGCTGCGCACCATGTGGATTTCATATAAAGCTGTACGCATTCCAGAAGCCCGAGAACAAAACAAACGCGCGGCTGGAGCAGGTCCTGCTGGTGAAATAGTTGTGCGCGCTGTCTCTCCCGAGCAGATAGATTACACGCTGGACGACATCCACGTGGAATTTGTCAGCTCTGCATGAGAAGGATGAGTCCAGAAGTGCCTTCTGATAGGGAACATGGCCCTTATCTGATTGCCCCAACTCCTTAACATAGTCTGGTGAAGCCTATAGAGGCCTTCTTAGAATTCATAAAATTCTTTTTAAATTATAAAATAATATCCACAGGATTACCAAGGAAACCAACTACACTGAAATGCACTTATGAAATATGTTTTTAAACTCAAAATTGTGTGGAGTAATGTTGTTAGGAGTCTGGGAGTCCACTTTCACTCATAGCAATTGTATGTACAAGAGATGTACTTAATTTTAACCACATCAAATAACAAGCTCTAGCATCAGATTTAATGGTGCATCTAATAATTACTGAGATTTCAAGGTAATGAAGATTACAAACAATATTTGAAGACATCTGCAGCAAATATAACATGGAAATATCTGTGACTTCTATTAGGGAAAATGTTACTAGGTGCTCCTGCTACTGTGATTTGTTGCCTATGATTATGATGGAAGGAAATGCTAATTATCAGTGTTCTGGTTACCTAGTGCCACTCTGACAGAAATATACCACAAATGGAATGGCCTTAACAGGAGTTTATTCTCTTATAGTTTGGAGGCTTTAAGTCCAAGTTCAAAGTGCCAGGCTCTAGGGGCTGGGTGAAAGGGCAACCTTGGGGTTCAGCTCTACCTTCTGCTCCCGGCCCACTGGAGCTAGACACTTTTCTTAACTCAGACAGCTGCTGGCTGCTGAGACTGACAAGCCCAAGGTTGACAAGTAAAAAGGCACAGTCCTGATGTTACCAAACCACACGGCAGGCCATTAACTGAAGTCCATGGTAAGTCCCAAGGTCAGCAGAGCATGGCAGGCTGCTGCTGAACAATGGCATGGCTACATGCAGGGTCCAAGTGTGCCATAAGCTAGAGATTATCCCCAAGGCTTCTCTTTATATACAGGAAGCAGGCCACATCCCAAAGGCAGCTACTCAGCTGCTTGTGGTAGATCCCACAATGGAGTTGATTGCCAATCTCATCAAGGAGAATAACTTCCACCAGCTGCCCAGACACTCAACCAGACCCAGCCAAGTTGACATACAAATTTAACTACCACAATCAGTTACCAAAGAAAAAAAAACAGTTGTGGACATGTCAATTCTGACTCATGATAACTCCATGTGTTGCAGAGCAGAACTTCTCCATAGGGTTTTCAAGTCTGACCTTTCAGAAACTGGTCACTGGGTTTTCTTCCCAGGTTCATTACTAGTTGCATGCTTAACCATTTGTGCCACCTAAGCCAAAATCCAAACCCATTGCCTTGGAGTTGATTCTGATTCCTAGCGACCCAACAGGACAGAATTGACCCATATGGTTTTAAGGCTATAAATCTTTAGGGAATCATATACACATCTTTCCCTAGCAGAGTGACCAACCAAACACCAACCCTTTGGTTATCAGCCAAGCACTTAACCACTGTGCCATGAGAGCTTCAAATTTAGGGTTTAAAACCCACTACCGTTGAATCTGATCTGACACATAGCAACCCCTACTTGGGTTTCGGAGGCAGCATCACTGCGGTAGATTGCCCAGCCTTCCTTCTGAGGAGTGGCTGGTGGGTTTGAACCACCAGGCTTCTGGTTAGCAGTCAAGTGCTTTAGGCACTTTGCCACTTGTTGTTGTTATGTGCCGTCGAGTTGGACCCGACTCATAACGACCACTCCTTGGGTTTCTGAGGCAGTATCACTATGGAAGTAGATTGCCCAACCTTCCTTTCAAGGAGTGGCTGGTGAGTTTGAACTGCCAGCCTTCTGGTTAGCCATCAGGTGCCTTAGGGACTATGCCACCAGAGCTCCTAAAATCTTTACAGAAGTAGATTGCCCAGTGTTGGTTCCACAGAGTGGCTGGTGGGTTTGAACCACCAACCTTCTGGTTAGCAGTCAGATACCTTAGGTGCTGTGCTACAAGAGCTGCCTCATTTATAGTTTCGTAAGAATAAAAATTTAATTTCTTTTTTCTTGTAAGGTTGGTCTGGTTTTAACAATTCCCTTAGTTTCTGTTTATCTGGAAATGTCCTAATTTCACCCTAATATTTGAAGGACATTTTTGCTAGGTAGATACATAATTATTGGTTGGAATTTTTTTTCTTTCAGGGTTATATATGTATCACCCCATTGCCTTGTAGCTTACATGGTTTCTGCTGAGAAATCAGAGCTTAGTCTTAATTGGTCACCCTTAGTAAGTAAGTTTTCATATTTCCCATGCTGCTTTCAGGATTCTTTCTTTGTCTTTGGTTTTGGTGAGTTTCATTATGATATGTTTTGGTGATTTTCTTTTGGAGTCTATCCTTTTTGGGGTTTAGTGGATTTCTTCATTAGATATATTTTCATCTTTTCTCATATTAGAGAAATCCTCTTCCAACATATCTTTGACAAATTTCTCTGTGGTTTTATTTGTCTCTTCCTGTTCTGGAATTCTGATTACACGTAGGTTATTCCTCTTGATGGTGGCCCATATGAATCTTAGGCTTTCTTCATTTTGTTTTGACCCTTTTTCTGATTGATCCCTTAACAGAGTAGTTGTTCTGGTTACCTAGTGCCATTCTGACAGGAATATACCACAAATGGGATGGTCTTAACAAACAGGAGTTTATTCTCTCACAATTTGGAGGCTTTAAGTCCAAGTTCAAAGTGCCAGGCTCTAGGGAGTTGGTGAAAGCCCCTCAGTCTTGGGCTTCAGCTCTGCCTCTTGCTACTGGCCCATCAAAGCTAGAGGCATCTCTTCACTCAGGCACCTACTGGCTCCTGAGGCTGACAAGCCCAAGGTTGACAAATAAAATGGCACAGTGCTGATGTTACCAAACCACATGGCAGGCCATTTATTCAAGTCCATTGTAAGTCCCAAGGTCAGCAGAGCATGGCAGGATGATGAACAACAACATGGCTACATGCAGGGTCCAAGCATATCATAAGCTAGAAACCATTTCCACAAGGCTTCTCCTTATAAACAGGAAGCAGACCACATTCCCAAAGGCAGCTACTGAGCTGCTCATAGTAGATTCCACCATGGAGTTGATTACCAGTCTCATCATGGGGAATACTACATCCAGCTGCCCAGCCATTCAACCAGGACCAGCCAAGTTGACACACAAACTGAACTACCACAGTAGTACTGAGGTATTTGTCTTCAATCTCATTAATTCTGTCTTCCATTTATTCAATTCCACTCCTTTGCCCATTCAATGTGTTATCTATTTTTGAAATCTTATTATTAGCCTTGTTGTTGTTATGTGCCATCGAGTCGGCCCCGACTCTTAGAGACCCCTCCTTAGGTTTCCAAGGCAGTATCACTATGGAAGTAGGATTGCCTTAAGTTTCTATTTGTTGTTTTTGTATCACTTCTAATTTTTTGTTTATTTTGCCAATTTTTTTTTGTATTGTTTTCCTAAACTGTTCTAGAGTTTTTTATTTACTTTTTTATAATGTATTTTCCTTAATATTGTCAGTGTTTTCCTTGACCTATCTCTCAAACTGTTGAAGGCACCCAAATATAATTCTTGTGAATTCTTTATCAGGGAGCTCCAACACTGCTTCTTCCTCAAGGATATTTTCTGGGTTTGTGCTCTGGTCACTTGTTTCTACGACTTTATCTTGCTTCTTTGTGTGGACTGTGATCACCTGTTGTTTCTGAGACATTGTGGTGTTGTTGTATTCATGTTTAATTTATGCTTGTACGTTGGTGTGATTCACTCAAGTATGTTTTTCCTCTATTTTTTTTTTGATATAT